TGTTCCGGCTTGTTCACCACATTGCCTGCAATCAATCGGGATTTTGCTCAGAGCGCGCCTTTGAAAAGTACTATATTTGTACAATTGTTAGAAATGACACCCCTGAAGAATTGAAAATGTGAGGCAAAACTTTTTGAGGCATTTGTTGAATGCTAATGTTAAATTTTGTACAATTTGTCGAAAAGCCGTTATACATTTTTTGTATCTACTGAATGTACTAATGTAGTACAATTTGAAACTTGGATAGGGCCCGTACAAAATGCCGTGCTTTGTAACATTCCACCTTTTTTTTTAAGGCCAAGACTTAATAGAATTAGCATTTTAGTTCTTCAATACTGTCATTTTCAGACGATTGTACAAGTCTTTTCTTGTAAGCAGTTAATTGAAAACTGAACTGCTTCACTTTGGACATTTTTATTTGTTTTGAAATTTAAAAGTATCCTAAAATGTGTACAATTTTATTGTACTCCAAATTTGTACAAAATTTTACGCTTGTCAAAAATTACGCTAGATATATAGAAATGTACAAAGTAATTGCACACGAACTACAAATTGCACCATGTACAAAATCTGAATAGTTGATTAGTCCAAACTTCAAATTTTGTTCAAAGTGCACAAGTAAGCCTCCAAATCCCCATTTGTATTGAAAAATTTCGGATGCAAAACAACCGCAATTGTACAAAGCATTCCGTTGGTGTTTGTCAAATTGTACAAATTGCAAATATTGGCCAGTAATAAAATTCCTCAAAAACCCAAATATATGAAATTTAAAGTAAATTAAAAATTGTACAATTGTTGAAAAATGACAACCCTGAAGTATTAAAACAGTACAAAAACAAAATCGCGAATAACTTGTTTGCTGTTAACGTTAGAGAAAAAGTAAATACCACATTTTTCATGGACTTTGGGTCTCTCTATCCAGTGGCGTGCTCGGAATTCCCTTACGGTGTTTGCTTTTCGAGATATTTTCAGTTTTTCGAAAATTTGGTTTTTGCGATTTTCTCGCAAACCGAAACCGATGGAAAATGAAAAATTTCTCCACCGAGTCCATTTCATCACCGCCCACATGCTTCGACAGAACATGGACCGTTTTCAGCCATTCGGTATAATGGCGCTGTTGCCAACTGGTGAATAAAAACTGCAAAACCCATACTTTGTCACTAACCTTCGCCATCAAATCCGAGAATGTCATTTCCCACTGAACTGGTTCGGCCGGATTCCATTTCATGTTTGTGCCGAAAGAGTTTTAGCCGAGCGGTGCCACGCCCATTGTCAAGACCTCCATGCGTCAACACGCCCAATAAGGTGGATTTGCCTGCGTCAACGTTTCCCACTACCGCCACCCGAATCTCCAAGAAATCTGCAATTTGAACAAAGGTTCTGGACATCTCAGATATTCGGATAGAAATGGCAACGCTGTTACATGTCAAAAATAAAGTTCTTTTGGAAAACACCAAAACTAACAACAATAATTGTGCAGGCCTGCTACTACTAACTAACTACTAAAGTTTAGTACTGTTTTTCAGTTGAAAATGCAATTGTATAACTATTTGTACAAATAGGAAAATCCGAGACTCAGAACGTTATGGTTAACGTTATGGAACGTTAATGTGTAACGTTATTGAAGGCAAATTAACGTTAAATAAAATAATTCATTAATCGATTCAGAGTACTTCGAAACGTTTCCCAATTGACACTTCAAATGTTTGTTTCCTTTCTTTAAGTACAACTCGACGCAAAGAGCAACCCTGTATATATGAAAAAGTCATCAGTATACTGTTGACTATTGGAAAATTGTACAAAACTGAAATATTGGCAATAAAGAGTTTTAAAATGTCATTTAAATCATGCAAACGTGGCTTTTGGAATAAATACAAATATTGTACAATTGTTGAAAAATCGCAACCTTAAAAAATTGAAAATGTGCAAGCAACAGTTAGCTCAAGCAGAATAATCGAAGATCTAATTTCAATAAATAAACGCTTTTTATTTGTACAAAGTACATCTACAGCTCTGCAATAAATGTACAAACTCAAGTTTTTCCATAAAAATTATCGCAACCTCTGGATTTTCGCACGCTTTATAACTTACGCCATAGATGAAATTATACAGGTGGTCTGTAAGATGATTGTACCAAATCCAGTACATTCCATAAACAATAAACGTCTCAGAATTTCTAAAAATTGTACAATTGAGTGAAAAATACCGCCTAAATGTACAAAGTGAAAGTTCCGGCAAAGGTTGGATCCTGATCCCAGTCATTAATATGTAGTACAAGGAGCAGTACAATTTTAAACTAATTTTAATAAAAGTTTTTTAGTCATGGTTTTTGATCAAGTTTACTGGTTAATTTGTCCTTCCAATATTTCAGTTTGTACAATAAAAATTATATTTTAACTAGCGATATTATGTTAATTGTACAAAGTTGCAACTTTCTGAGAAATTTTAATAAAATTTCTTTTGTTACAGCAATACAGTTAGTGTACAGTTGTGGTGCATTGTACAGCTATTTGTACAATTAAAAAAAGTTTAAAAAATCATATTTTGATTAGATGTTTTGCAAGCAGTACAATTAGAGCAAAACGCACGGTTCACCTCTGTACTTTTACTACAAACAGACAAATGAAGTTCTGCTCAACTTGAACATGAAGTTCCACTTTGTACACTTTTTTGTCCAGAGTTGTCAATTTCAGTGCTTTGTGCAACTAAAGAAAAACAATCTTAAACTAATACAATAGCAATAGTACAATTAGAGTAAAACGGCCGACTAAATATTGTACATTTTTAAACATAAATTGTACATTGTTTAAAGGTTGAGAAACCAAATGACACAAACGTTACGTAAAGCAGATAAATGAAATTTTGCTCAATTTGAATATTGAGTTTCACTTTGTACAATTTTGCGTATCCAGAGTTGTCATTTGCAGCGCTTTGCATAGCTAAAGGAAAAAAGTGGCTTAGACGAAACCTTATTTCAGGACAATTTATCAAGAATAATGAAAAATAGTACAATTGCAAAAGTAATTGTTCACTACAAGCAGATAAATAAAGTTTCGTTGAAGTCGTATATGAAGTGTCACTTTGTACATTTTTGCATGTCCAGGGATGCCATTTTCAGTGGTTTGTACAATTTTAGATTTCMCAACGGATACTTTTCATTGCAAAATTTGGYATCGATGGATTATTTTACTTAGTACAATTTTGATTAGCCTTTTCAGTGGTTTGGACAGCGCGTGAAAACTTTTAGTACTTTTCGTTGAATAGCAGTACAATAGACACGCGAACAAACTTTGCACAACTTTTCACATTAATTGTACTATTTCACTTAAAGAAATTTTAAACCAAATTAGCTAAAAGGTTCATTCACAAATGGAAATTTGAATTTTTCTCAGCTTCCAATTTGTACATTTCCACTTGGCCTGGGTTGTGCTTTTCAGCGGTTTGTACAATTTAAAAACTTCCAACACTTTTCATTGTTTAGTAGTACAATAGAAAAACGAATKACCTTTGTAGRTTTTTTAATATTAATTGTACTATTTCAYTTGAAGGAAGTGAAAAGCAAWCAGTCAAATGGTTTATTGATCGAGATKTTTAAAAYGTTTGTCGAGTTTGTACAAAGTTTTACCTTTCACATTTTCACTTGTCGGCAGGTGTCCTTTTCAGTGGTTTGTACAATTAAAAAACATTCAGTACTTTTTATTCTRTAGTCGTGCTACAATAGAYACACGGTGAAACTTTGAACATTWTTKACATTAATTGTACTACTTTACYAAAATGAATTGAAAACCAAACATTTGTACAAACATTCTTTAATTTTATMGACTTTGTACATTTCCACTTGTCCAGGGCTGTCTTTTCAGTGGTTTGTACAATTGAAAAAWTTTCAGTACTTTCCATTGTATAGTAGTAGTACAATAGAAAAACGTGCAAACTTTCTTCAGTTTTTCAGAKTTCAAATATACAATAATATACTGGGTGTCTCAATAAAAAAACCAATTGGATTCTAAATTGCCTGAGGAAGGCTGGATTGTTCATAAATGTTCCKTAAATACTGGAAAACTCTCTTTAAACACTCACCTGATTGGTCCAGAACACGCCGAATCAAATACTGGACGACCAATCCGCGCCTTTCCTTTCGTTCGCGCAGCCGTACGCATGAGCAGTTCAGATTGTCAGCCAATGAATGCAAAGTGGCTGCAGCCGCTTCCAGTTCGTCCGCCAGTAAACCGCTTTCGCTTCCATCTTCCGAGGCTCCAATCTGAAAACGGGCAAATTGATGGAAAACAAAATGAAAAACTCTAACAAAACCATTAAATCAGTGATAAATCCGATTGACATATGTCAAAACTCTAGGTAATTTGTCAAGAAATGTCATCAAAACGGATTCGAAAGTGTCAAGGTGGACTGCTCCCATGACAACCACATCAATACAAACACGATGCAGCTGACGTTGACTGATAATGACATGTCAAGTTGACGTTGAAGTCATCTCTGTCACTACGGAGAGCTTACAACTGGCTTTGAGTGAAAATTGAGCCGAATTTTTACATTGAAAGCCCATCTCACCTCAAAATGTCACAATGACACATGTCAAATGTCAATTAATTGAGTAATTTAACATGAAATACACGTAGTGAAAGCTTTTTTGGATTCGAAATGTCAAAAGTTACAATTCAAAAGCGATTGATTGCACTGCTAAAGTAAAAAGCTTCAATTTCTGAGAAAAAAAATCAGCAGTTTCTCAGACAATTGGCTAAAAAACATCAATTAACATTGAAAATTCAGCTTGACTTTTACACTGAAAGCCCAAATCAACTTAAAATGTCATTGTAACAGAAGACAAATGTCAATCAATTGCGACATTTAACGTCAAATAAAACTAATAGTAAAAGCCTTTTTGGTTGCAAACTGTCAAAAGTTCCGTCAATGTCAATGTCAAATGATTGATCAATCACGCTCACCTCTATAATAACCTCTCCACGTCCTTCGCCCAGTTGCTGTTTGAGTCGCTTGGTTAATAGAGTGTACTGTTCGCTAGAGGGCGCCACCAGCACGTCACGTCCAAGAATTTTGTCGAATTCGCACGATTTCGGCTCGTGTTTCTCCACGAACGAGCTCAATGATTCCGCCATTGTGGTTGTGCGAATCGTTTCACACCATTACGTCATCTGAGAGGGTGTTAATTTCAAATCTGTTAGTAAGTCGATGGTTTCGTTTTTGCAGGGCTCATGTCTGGTCGCTCGACAATCGACCTACAAAGAAGTGAATAAATAAAATTAATTAAATAAATCAGAGAAAAAAATATTCGATGGATAAATAGAATTACAAAAAAAATCAAATTATTTTTTTGTAAATTTTTGAAAATTAAATAAAAGTGAAAAAAGTCAAAAAAAAATAAAAAATATTCTATTGCTATAACATTGCGTCCAAAATACATTTGGTCCAATGGTAAAACAATCAGAGCAACAAACATAGCAAATTACAAACTCTGTTGACAAGAACTAAATAAAAATTACAGTTGAAAATAAATTAGAAAAGGTAAAAAAAAGTAGAAGAATAATTAGATTTATTTAGATTMGGACAAATCCACAAAAATACAAAAAACRCAGACAACTAATAAGAAAATTGAAAAAAAGTAAAAAATAAAGAAAAAAAATTATTGTTTCAAAAATAWAAAATKATTACTACATTTAAWAYRTRMWAAAAAWACATTTGAGCCAATGATAAAAAAAATCATAAGAAAACAATCATTTACAAACTCTGTTGACAAAAATTGATTAAATGAAAAAAATAKCACAGGATAACATAACAATTTACAAACTCTRTAGACAAGAATTARATAAAAATAACARTTGAAAATAAATTAGAMAATGTAAAAARAAGTAGAAGAATAATTCGATTTATTTAGATTTGGGCGARTYCTAAAAAGTACAAAAAACGCAGACAACTAATAAAAAAATWGAAAAAAARTAAAAATAATGAWAAAAATTATTGCTTCAAARATAAAAATRATTACTATAAACATGTGCAAAAAATACATTTGCTCCAATGATAAAACAATCATAARAAACCAATCATTTACAAACTCTGTTGACAAAAATTGATTAAATGGTAAAAATATCACAGGATAACATAACAATTTACAAACTCTGTAGAMAAGAATTAAATAAAAAYAACAATTGAAAATAAATTAGAAAATGTAAAAAGAWGTAGAAGAATAATTCGATTTATTTAGATTTGGGCGAATCCTARAAAGTACAAAAAACGCAGACAACTAATAAAAAAATTGAAAAAAAAATAAAAATAATGAAAAAAATTATTCAAAAATAAAAATGATYACTATAAACATGTGGAAAAAATACATTTGCTCCAATGATAAAACAATCATAAAAAAACAATCATTTACAAACTCTGTTGAGAAAAAGTTATTAAATGGTAAAAATATCACAGGATAACATAACAATTTACAAAATCTGTAGACAAGAATTAAATAAAAATAACAGTTGAAAAGAAATTAGAAAATCTTTTAAAAAATTAGAAGAATAATTAGATTTCAATTAAAAGGAGACAACACCAAGAAAACCCACAACTATTAAAAACATTAAAAAAAARAAGATAAAGAAAGGAAGAAAAAAGTGACAAATWAAAAAAATTTGATTCAAAAWTAAAAAWWAATTCTATTACTATWAAGTGCCCAAAAAATACATTTGCCCYAAWAGTAAGGAAGTAATAATCAAAGAAAAACAACAATTTCCAAACTCTGTTGACAAGAATTAAATAAAAATAATAGAGTTGAAAATAAAAAAAATAAAATCTGGGAACAAAATTCGGAAAAAAGTACAAAAAACGCAAACAAGAAAAAAATTGAAAAAAGAGAAAACAGCTTCGAATTAGATAAAAAGATATTGTTTTGTTCAAAGAATGAACAGTTTTCGATCAGTTCAAGAGTTAATTAATTGTTGCTTCTATCGTTTTAGAGGTTATAAATATCGGATGAAACCGACTAAACAAAAGACAGTTTTCAAAGCCCTCTATCGAAAAGATGCTTTTGATTATTCAAATATTGAGGCTCAAATCTCGAACTCAAACTTTAATTTCGAGAATTTCACTTCTATCTGTTTACAGGTTAAGAATTAACAAAAAAATTGCTAGGAAAGAAAATGGAGCTTTCGAATCGCTCTATCAAAAAAGTTCTAATGATTTTGCTGATATTTTTATGCGTTTTGGAGTTATGCGCCCTCAAACTGTAACGGTGTTGYTGATGTTTGACAATTYTCTTTTTTTTCTTTTCAATCTTTTTRCAGGTTAGGATTTTCTGATAAAGACCCGATTGTTATTGACAGTTTTTGAGACGCTCTATCGAAAAGTTYTATTGMTTATTTGGACATTTTCAACCAGTTTCGAGATCTAGAAGCTTCAACTTCAAAGRCATGTTAAAATTTGAGAATCTCACTGTATTYCATACTTTTTAAGGTTAGGAATTCATTAATAAATCTTTTAATAAAAAAATTAAAAAACTTTGAAAAAACSGCAATTTTCAAGTGAATACAAACCAGTTCGGTTCATGAATGGTTTGGCATTAAACTGAACTGAAACTGGGTCGTACTTTCATTTTTCCATCAACCAAATCGTGCATTTCTCGTGCAATCTCATTAATTTTCAAGCGATTTTTTAGTTGAAACACCGAAAGAGTTTTGATTTAGTAACCAGAAGTTGGACACAAACGCGTTTTCTTGGGGCAAATGTTCACAACTGCGTTCCCGAATTTTCCCCGATATTTTCCCGATATTTTGCAATGATTTTTGTTAAGTGGAAAGAGCAACTGAGGTGCAAAACACTCTATTTCTACCTAAACTAGCGCAGATAGAGCGATGGCGGCTCCTGCACTGAAAAGAGCACACTTTCTTTTATGAATGACGAAAGTTTGAAAATGAAAAATGCGTAAAAGCCTTTATAGTCTGATTTTGAGATTTGTCTGATTTCCCGTTATTATAGGGAGTTTGTAGTGTTTTTTGTCAAAGCTTTGATTTTTTTTGGCAGTTTTTAGTCGATTTTTTAATGGATAATGGTAGTAAGTTTCACTATTCAATAATATCGATTTTTTCTATTAATTTCGCTTTTTTCAGACCTTTGTTCAAGTTTTTTAGCTGTTTTATGGTCGTTTGTCATGTTTTGCACATTTTACTCTTTGGTTGGTTTTTTATTTTTCAATTTCCCAATTATGAAAATTTTCTGGTTAGTTTTAATTGGGCACCTTTTGGAGTCTCATTGACTAAAGTTACCAAAATTGCTATTAATTTCCCATTTTCTCTACTTTATTTCGCTTTTTTCAGTCTCTTTTTCGGTCATTTTCTCGTTTTTATCTGATTTCAGGTTATTATCGGGATTTTTTGCATATTTTGCTTTTAAGTTTTTTTATTTTCCAATTTTGTAGATTTTTTTTGTCTAAGCTTTGACTTTTTTGTCACTTTTTAATCAAATTTTAATTGAATGATGATAGTTAGTTTTACTATTCATGTATATCGATTTCTCGTTCAATTTATTTCGCCTTTTCCAGTCTTTTGTTCAATGTTTTTTGACCGTTTTCTGGTCGTTTTTTTAAACTGTCATTGTCTAATTTCAGTTTATTTTACTAATGTTTTGCACATTTTATTCTTTGGTACTTTTTGTGTTTTTCAATTTCGTAGTTTTTTAGTTTTCTTGTCAGTTTTAATTGGTCATCTTTTGGAGTCCAATTGTCTAAAATTACAAAAATTTACTATTAATTTCGCTTTTTTCAGTATCTTTTTCGACGTTTTTCGGTCATTTTCTCGTTTTTCTCCGATTTCAGAGTAATATAGTGACTTTTTCCATATTTTGCTTTTGATTTTTTTATTTTTCAATTTTGTAGATTTTTTGTCAAAGCTTTGATTTTTTTGTCAGTTTTTCATCAATTTTTAATTGAATAATGATAGTAAGTTTAACTTTTCATGTGTATCGACTTTTTGTATTTATTTTTCAATTTATTTCGCTTTCTCCAGTCTTTTGTTCAATGTTTTTTGACCGTTTTCTGTTCGTTTTTTTAGACTGTCATTTCTAAATTTGTCTAGTTTCAGTTTATTTTAGTAATGGTTTGCACATTTTACTCTTTCGTAGTTTTYGTGTTTTTCAATTTCGTAGCTTTTTAGTTTTCTTGTCAGTTTTAATTGGTCRTCTTTTGGCGTCTAATTGTCTAAAATTACCAAAATTTACTATTAATTTCCCATTTTCTCTACTTAATTTCGCTTTTTTCAGTTTCTTTTTCGAAGTTTTTCGGTCATTCTCTCGTCATTTTGTAGCTGCCATTTTTAGCTTTGTCTGATTTCGTATTATTATGGTGATTTTTGCATATTTTTCTTTGAGCTTTTTTATTTTTCCATTTTGTAGTTTTTTTTGTCAGCGGTTGAAATTTTACGTCAGTTTTTAATCGATCTTATCTATAAATTCTCCCCTTTTCTCTTACTTAATTTTGATTCTTTTCAATATCTTTTTTAATGTTTTCTAGTCATTTTTACGTCGTTTTTTAGATGGAATTTCAAGATTTAATTTAATATTAACATTTGGTGATTTTGAAGTAGACTCGGAAAGATGAATTAAAACTAACAAGAAAATAAAAGAAACTACGAATTGAATTGAAAAAGAAAAAACCCATTCTAAAAAAAATTCCACTAATTTAGAAATTACAGTTTGAAAAAACGACCAGAAAACGGCTAAAACATTGAATAAAAGACTAAAAAAGCGAAATAACTTTAAAAATAAATAGAAAAGATCTATATTATTGAACAGTTAAATTTGCTATCATTATCCAATAAAAAATCGA